CTAAACTCCTAGAGGCCTACGTCTGTTTCCGGTTATTTTTATTTTGAAATTCAGTTCCTGACGGACACCAAAAAAGCCAGAGATTATGGAATTAAACCAATAAATAAAAGCAAGGACAATTGTGTGTTATTGGTGAGTAAATAACAGTGTGTTATTTTGAAAAGAATAACAAATTAGAAGGAAAGATTTAAAAATACAGATTTCAGTATTCTGAGGCTCTGAGCCCCATTTATTTTCCTCACAGACGGAAACAAAAGTCCAAAATTATACGATTTAAAATAAAAGCAATAATTGTGGCTTGATATTGAGTAAGAACATGTTTTTATGAACCACACAGCTTCCGGTCTTCCACGACCCGACCGGAGAAAAAGACGTGCTGCAGGCACGAAACACATTACCAGTAGAAATACATTGCTTTTAAAATCGTGCTGTGCAACACGAAAAATAGGAGAAAATCGTGTTGGTGAACACGAATCAATAGATTAAAAATCGTGTTGGTGAACACGAAATGCCATGAGACTGGGTTGTCCACACACACACAGAGCCGAGCTTTAATGAAACACAGAGACCCAGACGTAATAGTACTGTATCATATTATTTTCCCCCCACTTTGAGAACCACTGGTCTAAGCCAAACAATAAACAAGACAGCAATCAGGACAATTTAGCTGGGAGAGGGTGCGGGGACACAACCATCACCAACAACAAGTTGACACAAACCTGTCCGTCGAGGCTCTGCACAGCACACAGTCGGCCACAGCTCCTGGAGGACGCGTTAACAACCCGTAGCTTAAAGAAAGAAACTACAGCCATATACTTGTGCATTAATTAGGTGTATGCACTGAAGAGGCATCATATTAGTGACAGATTAGAAAATAAAGTTTCCAAATGCTGCCTCATAATACATGTAAAAGTCACCATTCATTGACATTAAAGTCATTTTTTTATTGAAGGCAGGAGCTCGACTTGCCCATAAAAACACATTCTACTAAAACTTGAATTCCCATGTTGAATGGTTTGCTGTTTCCAGTAAACATAACAGGACACAGTTAGTTTTATTTTACCTTTATTTACTCAGGGTGAGGACATTTAAACGTTTTCTCAGGTGCTCTCTGCTGCACGCTCACTCTGCAGAGAGCCACAGTCGTGGTTTGTTAAATTTTGTGTAAATACTTCGAAATATTTAGAGGTTAGGTGTCCTGCTCAAAGGGAGAAAACCAACATCTTACTTCAGAGAGGTTTCCAGTGTTGCTGCAACACCTCCTGTCTGTTTTCTGAATATGTACGTGGTTTCTTAACGAAAAAACGCAAATGTTTTTACATCTCTGAAATGTCTTTGATAGCACGAGGGAAAAGCGGTCGTTAATATTATTTTTGTTTTCAACAGACTCAAAAGATCATTACACAGCTCTCAGTAGGAAAAGGAAAACCAGAGCAGAATAATATTTATCCGTCAACTTATTCCAGCGCTTTCTGGTATACTTCCATTTGCTTTAATACTCCTTTAAACATAAAAAAAGCTTTAAATTACTTAACATTTACCTTAAATCTGGTAGATATATAACCAACATTGTTATAATTAAAACCCTATATCTAAATGTAACTCCCTTGGAGGTTTTTGTCTTTTAATAACTTGAAAATGCTTAAATATATGTTCGTTAGGCCTGAATGAGTTTGAAGATGTCATGTCCTGCTGTTCACAGTAGAATAAAGTGAATTAAATACATAAACATTACATTTATAGTCAAACTGTTTGTCATTGGCGATACATTCAAACAGCCATACTCACACATAAAGAAAATCAACACACACACTCTTTATCAAAGAATATTAGAAACTAGAAAAATGCGAAGATATTACACCTTCTTGTCCTTTTTGTGGTTTATGAGAGTGACAACAAACAACATCAGTTACAGATTGATAGAAAAAAAATATCACAATCATGCAATTTCACTGTTAATAGTAAACATTTGTTTCAAAACCTAAGAGAGAGGCCCTATTATGCTCATTTTCAGGTTCATATTTATATTTAGTGTCTCTACTGTGACATTTCATGTTTTAATGTTCACAAAGCTCTTTATTTTCCTCATACTGCCTGTGCTGCAGCACCTCTTTTCACCCTCTGTCTGAAACCAGAGCCCAGTCTGCTCTGATTGGTTAGCTGGCCAGCTCTGTTGTGATTGGTCAACCGCTTAGAGATGTCCCGCCCCTTAGCCTGTCACGTAAAATGTGTTGGAGCGCTAGTCGATAAGCCGAGTGCTATAGTGATGCCACTGTGTCCCTGAAGCAGACAAACTAGTCCAATGGACAATTGACATGCACAAAAACCTATACAACACACTACAGGAAAGGGAAGACCCCAATAAGCATAATAGGGCCTCGCTGTTGGTATGAATGGTATGAACACTTGGTGTAAATATTCATTAATAACTGTCACTTTACAGAGTTTTGATCACAGTGGTTCTCAGTAAAATTACATTTCTGTCACACAGTGTCGGCCCTTTGGTCAGTTTTTAAGTGACAATAATTAGAAAAGACTGATTATAATGAAAGAACTTTCAAAAATGTTCAAACATTTTCTAAATCAGACTTAGAAAATGGATCACCAAATTTATTTTTTCCTCACTTGCCTCTGTGAGAAACACAATATATATAATCACATAATAAATCAGGGAACAACAGTCAAGAAAACCCCTTTACCATCAAAAAAGTTAGGAATTTAAAGGCTCAGTTCACCCATATTAGAAAAACTGTTTCCTGCTTACTTTAGTTAGCCTCTTGCTATGCAGATAGTCCACATCACTGCTGTTTTTACGAAGGAGGATTGCTAAATTCCAAGATTATTGCACAAGATACTGGGAACAAATCCACCAATAATGACCAAAAACCGTGGCAAATATCATTGGAAAGACAGTATCTGCATGGCCGGATATCACGAGGGACAGGCCATGAAATACTTTGTGATTTGGGTGAACTGAAAGCCTGAATCAGCTCAAATTCTGCATGTATACATAATGTCCATATTTTACATAGTAATACATGTTGAAAAGTTTTCGTATGAAACATGGTCAAGAAAGAGTTTACTGGAATTAACTCACCTGGTTATCTCTCTTATCATTGATTTAAGGAAGCGACGATGTACCAAACAATATTACAAAAAGTGGACTCCTCAGATCCGATTGGACATCATCCCGGTGTTCAGTTTCAGAAAGAACGATTGCAGTTTGCACAGCGGGCACTTTGGCTTCTTCCTCTTCTTCTTGTTCTTCTCTTTCTTGTACACGCCGTGATATTTCCCCTCCTCGTCCTCCTCTTCCTCCACCCAGGGAACCCAGGCCCCGCTGTGCCTGCTGGGATTGGCTCGAGGGTCGTCGGGCGGGAAATAAACGGGCACGGCCGTTTGGTTGTGGAAGGCCAGTCGAGCCATGAGCTGCTGCACGACGTCCGGTCTCTGCGCCGCTAAGTCCTGCCGCTCGCAGGGGTCCGCCGTGATGTTGAAGAGCCACACGTTCTTCGGGGCGGAGGAGGATTTGGGGAGCGGGGAGACGGGACGTTCCAGGTTCCACCAGCGACCAGGGAGAGTGGACATAACCTGAGCAACAAAATAAAGATAAAAACGTTTAGAGAGGCCCTATAAAGCGTTTCTTTGGGGGGGCTTTACCTTCTACTGTAGTGTGTTATATAGGTTTTAGTGCATGTAAATGGTCTGCAAAGGCTAAAATCCCTGTGTTCCCTCCAGAGGGACGTTCTCTCGTTCTCTCTCTATTACCGGCTGTGTGTCTTTGGTTTCTAACTTTCAATGTTACCCTTTTGTAGTACTTCCATAGAAAACCCTTTCTGGCGAGAAGCGAAAGACATGTTGTCTCTCTACAAAGCCACCAGACTCCATTGACAAAAACAGGGATTTTACGTCGCAGAACACAGACGTTTTTGTTGTACCGCTGCATGATTGTTACGTTTATTTTGTTACAAGTGAATACAGACATACCCTATTAATACACTAAAGTTGCATAACAACACGAAAAAACTGACATCAGCATCAAATGGGTTCTGCAATGGTACAATTACTGGTTTTCTGAATTGGGTATGGTGGCTTTTAAGAAAGCAAAGGAAACCGGGTCGTATGGCGGTGCAATTATTCAGGATATTGGGTACTTTGACTATATTTTAGGTGTGCGTATTTTAGGTGGCTATATAACGATTGGCTGCTGCTTTCATCCACAGCAGGACACCAACATTTATTAAATCAAATGACTATCAATATCTAATACTGCCCTACAACTTTTACTCTTGTATTGTATACAAGTTGTTTTCTGTTTTAGCTTAATTTGAATGTAATTAATTGTATAATGTCTCTCTGTTGCATAATGGCTTGCTGCTTTTAATGTTTTTTTAGTAAAGCACTTTAATTGCCTTGTGATGAAATGTGCTTTATAAATAAACTTGCTTCCCCTAACTCCATGCATGTACTCCTGTCTGCTTCTCCAGAAATGAGGCATGCCGCACGTACTTATCTGTTTATATTTTACACAACAACACTTCAAAAAATCCCACTATCCATTTAAGTCAAAGTCAAGTCAACTTTATGGTCAATCTTTCAGTTTGTGTGTACAGACAGAGAGATCGATATACCGTTTCCCACTATCCCGAAAACAATAACAAATATATATAAAAATATGTATATACCTATCTATGCATTACATTAATGCACACAATGTACAACAATATCTGTTTTATTTTTCTTATTACTGCCGATTTTTATTCCATTCCATGTAAATACTGCTATATTTTACTATATTTGTAGCCTAATTATTTTTTATATTTTTCTAGTTCTCTACCTGTGTTTTTAATTCTTGTTTTACTTCTATGTATGCACCACGACACCAAGTCAAATTCCTCGTACGTGTAAACCTACCTGGTAATAAACCTGTTTCTGATTCTGATATACACACAATCAAAAGACACATTTATACATATGGGGTCTCAGTGTGATGCAGTACCTGTGGCGGGACCCAGTCTCCGTGGCCTGGGTCACCTGTCAGCAGCTTCCAGTCTCCCACTCTGATGGCAGCCTGGACTGAAGCGTCCCACACTGACGGGAAACTAAACTGGGGCGTCGGATGGGATTTAGGCTGCGGTGCTCCTGCCTGAGACATGTTCTGGTACTGGGAGGACGTCCTCCTCGACTGGAAATGTAATGTGTGCTCCGTCTTGGATTTACGTTGAGGTGGTCTTGAGTGTGAAAAGTTCTGCGATGTGTTTCTCCTGGATTTTCGCTTCAAGCGTGGCTGGATCTGAGGCTGAGATTTAGGGCGAGATGTTCCCGAACCCGATGGATTGTATGTCGTCAGTCTCGGGGTCAGGGGGTAAACTTTTGTCCTGGATGTGGGTTTGGGTTTTAGAACGGGCTTAAGCTTCGGTTTGGGAACAGGCTTACGCTTTTGTTTGATAACTTCCTTTTTTGCTATTTTAGGAACGGGCTTAAGCTTTGTTTTGGGAGAGAGCTTGAGCTTTGTGTTGGGAGAGGGCTTGAGCTTTGTGTTGGGGGAGGGCTTAAGCTTTGTTTTGGGAGAGGGCTTGGATTTAAGTGTGGGTGCAGGTTTAGCAGCAGGATGGGGTTTCTTCACCCTAAAAGCTGACTTCTGCTTCGGTTTCTGCCTCAGGATCTTCTTCTTCTTCTTTTTCTTCTTCTTCTTCGGCTTCTTTGTGCCTTTCGATTTGCTTGCTGACAAATAAAAAAAAGGTTTGAGGAATGAGGAAAATTAAGTTCACTTTTGACCGGTTTGGCTGATGCCATCCCCCAGCAGGTAACATTGCATTTATACCTTCTTTAAATGCTTAATTCCTGTAAGCAAGGGTGTAAATTTGGTTTGAGAAGTGAAAACATTTAATGTTGAAACATTTTCTTGATTCAATTCCATTTCCTGTCTTTCTACAAATATATTAGGGACTATGGTGTTAGTAAAATCCAAGGAAAAGGTGTAGTATAGTGTAAGATGTATTTCTTTGAGGGGAGATTTATGGATACAGCTCTCAACACTCATATGAAAGAGAGCTGTATATTTCTAATAATCAAAAAACCATTAGAATATGCTCACAACCAATAACAAATATTTTATAAACTCCTCTCTCCTTTCTTTATCTTACCTAGTCTGCATATTTTATTGATATTTATGCATATTTGACTAATCACTCCCCTTTTTAAACTCCTGTTTTTTTTTTTTTTTACTGACCTATATTGGAATGATTTCTTAACTTATTTTTTACAACTATATTAAATAGATGAACAAATTTGTTTACAAAGATGACCAAACCGTTTGAGACCCACTGAGATAACTTAGACTAAAGTTTACAATCGAATCACTCAGAGAGTCCTTTACCTCACTGAGCCGACAGGAGAGGACTCTCCCTCTCCCTATTGCTGAAACAGCTTCTAATTTCCGTTAGCTCCGAGCTAGCACCAGATGCTAACAACAACCCCGTAACTGGTGCGCTGTCTCTCTCTCTGTCGCTCTCTCGCACACTCACACAAAATGCGCTCGTGCCACACACGCATAGACGCTGTGTTCTCCACCGTGACGATGACCGCTAACGTAAAATAAAAAATAAAACACATTTCGAAAAGTGGGGGGGGGGACACAAGCGGGATTTTAAAAAGTGGGGGGGACAGTCCCCAGTGGAAATTATTACGCCCATGTCTGTAAGAGATTCTCCTGTTTTTCCTGTCTACTTCTCTTCTCAGCTTCTTCCTATCCCTTTTTAACTTCCCTCTGTGCAAATCTGAATTTAGAATTCTTCTATGAATCCGTTTTTTTTGCATGTGTTGGCTACGAACTAGGAGTCTTTAACAGCTGCCTTAAAGTATGAGCATGTTAACATCTACCAATTATCCGTAGACACAAATATATGATGATATCCGTATTGGAGAAATTGCTAGATGGGAAGGAAATACGAACATATAAGGTTCGACCAAAGTGGGAAAACAGAATATATTAAAAAAGATATCCATGACAAGTGATTAAACTCCATCATAACAGAGAATTAAGAAATTCACTCATAAATATACTGTATTTTTTAGTGACATTAAAACTGTAGAACCAAATGAAGCCATTGAACTGCACAGATTATGACTCGCCAAAGTCTTTCCACTAAAAATGATGAGAATTGTTACCATAAGCGTTCATGGATTCAAATTTGACAGCCACATTTGTGCAGATTTCTCACAAGTGAATTGAATTCATGCACCATAACCTGAGTAAAGACTTTGATACTTCACGGCAAATTATCCTTTGAATGCATCCTTATTTGTCGTTTATATAATTTTGACGTTAAATGTACCCTTAGCTCTCTCCGTGCTGACGTCCCACTTCATGGTTTGCGGCGGAGGTTTGTGCAGAGGGTTGATGTTGTGAAGGATCTCCTGACGGGGCGACTCCTTCCCCTCGCTGATGGTGGGCCAGACATCGAATCCATCCAGACCCTGACTCTGAGAGGGTGACAAATATTCAATTAAAATATGTATAAACACTTCGAAAAACAAGTACAATCATAGGGCATAATTGAAATATAAAGCTCAGCGTAAATTCTTTCAGGAAGACTGGTTCCCACGCTCTCATTCACAATTCTCCCTCACTCACTCGCCCCCTATCTCAATTAGCAAAAGGCTCAACTCACCCCAGCTAAACCAATCGGCTGCGTCTTATTTCCCACAGCCAATCAGCACACCAGGCAAAACGTTTCAATCCGCTCTTCTCTCCCCCGTCAGCATCGCTCAGGAGAATTGATGCAACCCTCCTCCACCTCCTTCCCCTCCAGCTGTTCAGATCCAAGGCAGGACAGCCCAGAAGAACCCTCATCACTCCGGATTTTATTTTCCCTTAGTATTCACCACCACCAGTGTCTAGACCCCGGGGGGGTTTCTCTTTTTAGTCGGCTTCTCCTCCCCCCTAATTCATCACAGTATGATGAGGTATAATCACCAAAAACACTATTGCGCACACGGCAATACAAATGTTATCAACTTCAACTAAGTCTCTCCTGATTGAAATGTGAAATGGGACACCCAGTCAAGCAAGCAATCTGAAGCTGGAGAATAGGGACACTAAACAAAGTATTTCATATTTATTGCTCACACATCTAGAAATGGAGAGTTCATGTGTTAAAAAGGAGGAAATGTACAAACTAAAAAACACCAAAAAGTAACCAAATACCTTTAAAACGAAACGCATTTAACCCTAACTGCTTTATGGTCCCAAAACATTCGTTTCATTGGTCTAGAAAAGGGGTTAAAATAGTTATATCATAACCACTAACAAATCAAATGCATTTCAGAGCAAAATTCACTTATATAAAGTAATATAAAGAACATCTTGTTGTTAATGAAAGGTAAAGCAGTCCATGTGTTTACTGCATGACAGAAAAAATAAACATTTACCACACAGGCATAAATAATAATACATTCCCTCTGTTAATAGAGCTACAAAATGTTCTGCACAAGTCAAACGCTGGCTTAATGTAGCCAAGATAGCCTTATTTATCTGCTTTGGCAATGAATACCCACGTGCATATTATGCCAAAAAACTCTTTGGGAGCTGTACACAGACGGGCCAATAAAAGTGATTTATGTCTGAACTGAACCTCAAAGCGTCTATGAGGCTCGTTGTTTAGAAATAGTGTACTTATCATAATATGTCAAAAGCACACTTATCTACATGATAGTACAAATGATAGTTTTACAGTAGCGATGGGAAGTTCAGAGGCTGTAATGAAGATTAACGTGGATTTAGCTCCACATTTAGCTTGAATGTGAAATCAGTGGTAGAGTATGCAAAACAACTAGAGAACACCAAAACTAAATACAGAATCAGCAGCTTTAGTGGCCGCGGGGCGAAAAGAACAACTGTAAATCTGCTCTGTTTTACAGCACAATAAAGTCAGGCTTTCTGCCCGGTATCTACCCTTTAATATCCTGAAAAATAAGATAGGCCAGGCTAAAAGAAGAGCATCAATGACAATAAATACAAGTTACATGTGACAAAGTACAAAGCCAAATACTTATTTTAAAGTGCTAACAGGTGTAGGAAATAGTCAGTTGTACTTACATCCTGGTTTTCCACTGACCACTTAAAAATACAAGTACAATCAAAACACATAAGCAGAGGTGGGAGAAGTACTCAGATCTTGTACTTGAGTAAAAGTAGAAGTACCAGAGTGTAGGAATACTCTGTTACAGTAAATATCCTGCATTCAAAATGTTACTCAAGTAAAAGTAGAAAAGTTTATCATCAAAATATAGTTAAAGTACCAAAAGTGAAAGTAGTCATTGTGCCGATTGGTGCATTTCAGAATAATATATATGATATGTTTTATAATGATTGATCATTAACGTGTTCTCAAAGCTGGTAAAGGTGCAGCTAGTTTGAATGACTTTGTATACTGCAGGGTAGCTTGTGAATTTACTCCAGG